AATAGCTAAGGATAGCAGAAACCATGCGGAAGGAATACTGTACTTGTTTTTGATATAAAGAATCCACATTTTCCTTCCACATATCAATTCTGGAATGGAAGGTATGATTTTCATGATATTGCTGGCGATGCCAATGCTGACATTGTGGCAGGTGGGAAGCATCCAAAGCCGTGTGGTGCGAGGAAATGAGGTTCTCTACGAAGTGCAATGGAAAGGTTGCTTGTTAGCAATAGCTGACAGAGATAGAACATAATAGAACGATTTCTGAACGATTTGGCCTCAAACTAATCATCAAACTTTTTTGTTGGCACCTTCATTCAGACCCGTTTGTTGCAAGTTCAGACTTGGTGTCCTTGTTGCTCGGCTACAAGCTGCAGGTTGCGATGACCCCAAGCAGAACACCTTCGAGAATCTGGCAAAGCTCAAGAAACTGGACATGGTTGGCCTGGCGAAGGCAAAAGGGGTCCCAACGGGGGGATTAACGAAGGTTGAACCACAGGTCAAAACATGATACTCTACCCCGGGTGAAATATCATGAAAGAAATGCATGGGCTGGTCTCAAAATTGGGAAGCCACACAATTTCCAAAGGTCAAAACTAACCATTGTTCTGCCCATTGAAAATTGCCATAAAGTGGGAGACAAGGCCGTATACTACCAATGGTGGGTACTTGGGAAGCACTGTGATTTCATAGAAATTTCATTGGTATGTATAATCATTGAGATTTGATGGCTTGTAGGCATTGTAGTCAACTTACCAACTATGCAGGCAAACTTCAGGAAACATACAAGTAGGTCTGTATGAACTCCCTTTTCAAGGTACCCAAGAGATGTGCATAAACTGTCACAACCATTGTCATGAGCAGTGCCCAACCAGTGCCCAAGTTTAGTTTTTCTCTATGAGAAGCTGAGATCCAAAGGGCACCCGGTGCACTCGCAGGCCTACGACGAACGCATCGCCGCGCAAACGGCGGGCATCGATCAGCGGCCGCTGACGCAGAAGGAGATTGTGAAGCATCTGGAGCAGTTTGGTCCCTTGTGCGCAGGTCTAGATGCCGGTGATGACCTGCCTTGAGAGAACAATCTTGGTTGATAGCATGAGACCAGCATGGGAACAGGTGACTCATGGTGGCCTTCATTCACGATTTCCATCATTGCCATACTTGGATGTACTTGGATGTACTTGGATTGTTTCAGACATCGATATGTTTGGCACAGAGATCTGAGGCTTGGATGAAGACATGATTCTGCACCGAGAGATTGGTGGCTTCTCTGCTGGGCAAAAATCCAAGCTCACCTTGGGTGCGGCCTTTTGGACGTCGTTTGGCTGAATTGGATGCCGTCAGAAGTGATGCAGCTGCAGTAGGGTGAAAGAATGTCGTGGCAGCCTGTCTCAGCATCATTGGTGAGATGAGCTATAAGTGTCCTACTAGATATAGACGGAAGCCCAGTCCAGGATTGACAGATATTGACAGCATGTTGTTTTGGAAGCACTCCCTGCTGTTTTTCCCCTTCCAAAATTGCCCCAAAATCATCAAATGCCTCCCGGGTCTCAATAATCTTGCCCCACTGTCATCCCATGAACCAGTCCCACTGGCACGATTCCTGAATTTTACCAAATGATCCAAATATATCCAAATGATTACTAAGTTGGGCGGTATATCCCATTTTCTTCCAGATCGACACGCAAGGGTCGGGACACGGGTGCTAACCATTGCTCACCATTGGTACCTTGCAACCAGAAACAACTACCCTAGGGTAAACACACAAAAAGATGTGGAAAAACCATTAAAAAAGCATGGTTTCCCGTTCGGAATATATATATATATTGTCATGGATTTCCGGTGGGTTTTCCAGATCTATGTTTCAGGAAGCCCCACATCATCGCGCTGGACGAGCCTACGAACTACATCGATATGGAGACGTTGGACGCCTTGGTCCAAGGTTTGGCCCGATTCAAAGGTGGCATCATCGCAGCCTGGCAGAGCTTGGGGGACGGACTTGGGGTGAAGTTTGGAACCAACATCAACCTGACATCAACCAACAATTTGTACATGGCGAAGTAAATGTCTCAGCTTTGGGAGAGCTGGAGCCCTGCCGATTTTTTTTGATCCGTGCCATAGGTCATCTCCCATGCCAGCGAGTTCGTGAACCAAGTCTGCAACGAGATTTGGAAGGTGGAAGGTGGCGTCCTGGCAGAGAGGACCAAGCGGAACATCACCAAGTGAGGCCGATGCGGCCGATGCAACGCAGTGCGAAACGCCTGCGGGCTTCAGATGTGTCGGAAATTTTGCAGAGGCGACCTCCAGCAGTACGCAGTCTACCATATTCTACCATTAGTATCATTACTTAGTTTTGTTTTTGGCAATTTAAAACCAATGTCGCAAATCGCCTTTTAGCCTTTCAGCCTTTCAGCAGCTCAACCCTAGCTCAATCCCGCCCAAGCAGTATTCTCGGCTGCAACATTCGTAGCTCTAAGCCGGCCTGGAATGCAGCATGGCGGTATAAAAAAGTCCGTGCGACAGTGAAGCATCCTTCCTCCCCGTCAACGGTCACCACACCTAATATGACCCCAACCAGGAAACAATTTCTGCACTGAACTGCAGCATAGGCAGTAACATACTTACCATATCTTACCATGACAACTCTACCGGCAATGTTCCCGATTGACAGTTATACTTGACTCCAGTTTCCTCTGGTTCACAAGTTTGGCTAGTCAAAATCACCACATTCCTCTAGGATGTTTCGAGAAGACTTCACCCCTCCAGGACTTCAACCAAGGCAAGGCACAGGAGCGCTACAAAGATGTTTGCAGAGAGGAGCAGATCCTTCAGGTGGGGGGTGAGTGTACTGACGTGGTGCTAATGGAGTGGAACCGATAGAATCTAAGATTTCAAGTGGTAAGCGTCCTACGATACTTCAACATTCACATGTGCGCACAGTGCCAGGTGCTTGAACACCCAGCACCTTTGGGCTATGAGCGCATGGTGGTGGGTATCTACCAGATGCCAGCACCCATGAAGGACAAAGGTTGTGTATGAGTCATGTCTCTGCGGATCAGAAATGGATGGCTGAATCATCCCCAAATTGGAGGGTTGTGGTATTGAGTTTACCATATGATTTCAGGAAATCACCATAAGATCGCCATAAAATCACCTCTATATCCCTTGAGATCAGATGCTTCAACCACCCGAATCTCCATTTTGGAGTGTTTTTGGATGCCCATGGACATGTCACCAGAATCCAAGCCGTGAGATCGAGGACCGCGAATTCCTCTGGAGGGAATGGGCTGCGTTGCTGCCTACAGAGGACCTCGGTGCGGTGTAGATTTTTTTTCCAATCTCCAAGGTGTAACCCGTGTAACATCGTGTAACCCTCAGGCATACTTCGACCTTTAACCCACTTTAACCCACATGAGTTGACATCATGAGGACGGCGGCCAGCTCTACGTCTCTGTGGCGATGACGCCGAGCCCAGAGGTGACGCGCTCAGAAGATGTTGCAGTACTCTTTGGAAATGGAATGTATCCTGCAAATGGAAGATCGTTTTGAATAAGGATTTATAAATTATAGATACTATAGATATCTATAGATTAATCGAAGGAAGTTTAGAAGTCAAACTTCCGACAATATGGAGAGATGAAAAGCAGAGCAGGGCAGAGGCAGAGAGAAGAGGAAGATTAGAAGAGAGAAGATCAGAAGAGAAAGAGTAAGAAGACAGAAGATACAGATGCGCGAAAAGGTAGGAAAGTCCCGAAACACTGTGTTTTTCCAATGATTTGTGGCTCCGGAGGGTCGAAAAGTAGGCTCGCTAAAGCGGCGGGTGCGGAGCCAGTTGGCCACAGGAGCGATGAAAAATTGCACGCCGTTGTGGCGCGAAGCACATTTCGAAGTCAAAAGTGTTAAAAACTGGCGGTCTCGGACCACTTTTGGAAGTTGAGATGTCAAAAAAGTGCACGCTGGTGTGGCGCGAAGCACATTTCCAAGTCAAAATGTACAAAACACACCATTGTCGGACCACTTTTGGAAGTTGAGATGTCGAAAAAGTGCACGCCGTTGTGGCGCGAAGCACATTTCCAAGTCAAAATGTACAAAACACCTCAGCTCCGGACCACTTTTGGAAGTTGAGATGTCGAAAAAGTGCACGCCGTTGTGGCGCGAAGCACATTTCCAAGTCAAAAGTGTTAAAAACTGGCGGTCTCGGACCACTTTTGGAGGTTCAGATGTCGAGAAAGTGTCGAAAAAGTGCACGCCGTTGTGGCGCGAAGCACATTTCGAAGTCAAAAGTGTAAAAAACTGAGGGTTTTGAGCCTTTTTTGACGTGAAGATGTCGAACAAGTAGACAACAACAACAATACACTACACTACAATTACAACTGCAACTGCGCAACTACACTCCACTACACTACACTACACTGCACTCAATTACACTCAATTACACTACATTACATTACATTACACTACACTCCACTACACTACACTACATTACACTACACGACACTCCACAACACTACAACTACACCTACACAACTACACTCCACTACACTCCACTACACTCCACTACACTACATCCCACTACACTACACTACACTACAACTACCCAACTACATTCCACCACACTCCACTGCACTAAATTACACTACACTACAGTGCATGACACTACACTACACTCCACTACACTACTTTACACTACACTAGTACACTACACTACCTTCCACTACACTTCACTACATTACACTACACTACACTCAACTACACTACAACTACAACTACAACTACACTCCACTAAACTCCACTACACTAATTTACACTACGCTAAATTACACTACACTACACTACATTACACTGCACTACATTACATTCCACTACACTCCACTACACTACACTACAGTACACTACACTGCATTAGACTGGATGACACTGCACCATAGATAGACAGGTAGACAGATAGACAGATAGACAGATGAAAGAGAGAGAAAGAGAGATAGATAGATAGATCGATAGCTGGATAGATACATAGAAAATAGATAGGTAGGTAGGTAGATAGGCAGAGAAAGAGAGAGAAAGAGTGAGAGAGATCAAGCACCTTTCGGTCCATCAGTGGATTCGCTCTGCCATCCCTGATTCACAACAACCAACCTCTCCTATAGGTTTCCTATTTTTGAAACTTCCGCCACCGCCTTGTGCGGTACTACTGGTAGATGCTTCTCTTTTCCAACATGGGGATCTTGGGATATCCCACTGACTGGTTCCAAAGTGCTTGGATATCCATCCCAGTCTCCAAATGGTGTATGTAGCTCGTGTGCAAGCATTGCTTGTTCAGACCCTAAACAACGGGTAAACAAGGGATGTTAAGACAGTTTATGTTAGTGTTTGTCCTGTTACGGTTTGTATGCTAGTGTTCAACATTTCTTCCCTGCCTTTTATGGTTGTGCTGTGGCGTGCTTTGAGATGTTGGTTGATTTCTTTTTCATTAACAAAGCCATTCACTGATTCACGTTCGAAGAACGCCCCCTCCACGCATAACCCGAACAACCCCAACAATGTTGCCCCTTACTCAAGCCAAACATCAAGTGAAAATTAGGGGCAAACTTGTCCCAAAACCCCCAGCATAAAAAAGATCAACAGCAACAAACTATGATCATGACATGCCATCAGGAGTCTGCCGCCATCTTACAGCCCAACGACAAGTTTGTTGGGGGAACTCGGACTGGGTTCCCCGAGAAAATCACTGCGGGCAATTGGACCATCTCAAGTTAGAATAAAATGATGATACAGAGATATGAAGAACTGACTGTTCCAAATTAGATAAAACTATTATAAGTATATAGTATGATAAATAAAATATTTATTGTTATATAAATAGTCCTAATATAATGATGTAACTTTTTGACAGTGACATGTCATCGACTGAAGGTTTTACGAAACCCCAGGTGCGCGGCCATTTGCACTTGGCTGCGACGATGGCACGTCAAGACCCTGACTCTTACGAGGCGAGACTGGGAGCAGTTTCTTGTGCTGGGGATTTAGACGATCTGTTTTATTCACAGTTTGAAAATCCATTAGATTATCCATTTGAAAATCCATTGTATATAGACTATCTGTTTAGATTATCTAGAATGATCGATTATGAAAATCAATGGTTAGGAGGGAAGCCCAATATTCCTGTAGTTTTTTTGCAGTGACCGGAGGTCAGTGCCTGCAGCGTCATCATGGGTGACGTCAAGGGTGCGGACTGCAGTGGAACGAGTTGATTTTCCTGATGATTTTGGATTTGCCTGTGTGTCCCAAGGGGTTTTACATGATTTTACACTTGAAACACATCCACGTCCTCACATTTCATGCTGTTTGATAGCAACATGTAATCAGTTTCCTTTTTGAATGCTACAATTGCTGCCACCACCGGACAGGAAGCATGCCCAAAGCTGTTCAGAATATGGTGGCGGGCAATGCTGGGATCCTTATAAAAAAGCTTCTGGACTGGACGTGTGACTGGGAAGATATGGAAGATATTTTCCAGGTGCATCTGCAACCATTTGAGTCATGCAGCCACTGATTTCGGGTATTTCGGTCCGTTCGGTGCAGCTTTGTTCTTCATACCTGAGGCCTCCAGCTATTTGATCAACTTCAGGGATGCACATTCACGTTGATGGTACGAGAGTAGCCATCAGTTGCCGGGACACCCATGTTGGCCAACATGGACTGTAAATGTACTTCAGACCTGTGATAATTTTCAAATCAAACCCAAAAACCCGATCACCCTGAAACCCATAAGTAGTCATTTTATGTCATGTTGTTTGTTTTCGCTGCTCTCTGGAGGTGTTGCCTTGTGATCCCTTTGTTAGGATTTTCTGCTTCCTAGGGCTGAGTTTTTTCCGCGACCTTTCCAGCTCCACTGCACGAAGTGCACATGATGTTGGAGGGTGCGATGCACAACGCTCAGCGGAAGCCGTGCAAAAGGGGACTCCTGGGACAGATGTAGAACTTGGTAGAGGGATATATGAAGGCAGCTTAAGGATTTTTAAGGTGTTCCTAACCAAAATAATGACAAGAAAGGCATGCAGGCATGGCTTGTTGTTTTTGATCCAAAGTTTTCAAGGCATGACGCTCATTCAAAGACGAAGAAGCAAACTTAAGCAAACCAATTGATTTCTCTTGCAGAGGTGTTTCCTTTCATATCTGCATCAGCAACAGGTTTGTTACCTCGTCCATGTATTGATGGGTGTATCTTATCCCAACCTGCCGTCACTGGGGGATCTGCAGCCTTCTTTTGCTCCTGGGTCTGTCTTTTATTTTGCTGCCATTGACACTTCTCAGTGTTGGACGCTCAGGGGCGGCAGGATACTTGTCCTGTGGTTGTTGAATTGGGAACTTCGGGTGCTTTCCAAATGAGGGACTGGTAACTGGTAAGGTGGAAACAAGTAGGCTGATAGATCAGATGGATCGCCAATCTTGAGACGCGGCATTCCATTCCATCCCACTCTAGCCTGGATCCCTTACTTTATAATGATTGTAACTTACTATTATTGTTAATTATTGTTTATTGTGGATGGTTTCTGAGTAGCTATTGCAATTTCTTATCATTGTCATAACTGGGCATTTAGCACACTTCGCATTGGTGCGGAGTCCACCTGAGGTTGCTGCAATGGGCGGCTGTGCAGGCCTGGCGTTGCAGACATCAAAACATCACTATGCCTGGAGTGGATTTGTAAGTTCAGCATTTTTTTTGGGTTTGCTATTATTGTGCAGTTATGTCCATATATATGTATATATATATATAACATTATATAACTTTCTTTACTTTATATTAATATATGTATATATATACACGTACACATGTATATATGGATCATCAACGTGAAGTTTCGCTCCAAACATTAATGGCCTTGGGAAACCTAGAGAGGTGGTCAACATGTCATTTGCTCTCCTGCGAGGCAAGACAGCAGATGCCCCAAAACCTGGAAGCAAGGCACCGGCCTATGCCATTGGGGTCATTCAGGAACCATGGCGTAATTTCATGATCATTCATACGTTCATATACCTTTATAAGATGGATGTGTATATGTATATGTATATATATATGTATCTATATATGAGTCTAGTACAGTAGTTCATATGCAAACAATATGCAATTTATATAATAAATGGATGTGTATATACTGTATTATGAAGATGTGTGTCCGTCCATATAGCGGCTTACAGAAGAAAGGCTTGTGCCAGCAAATGGAGTAATTAAATCCGGACCATCAGGCCCGTTTAACAGCTCCTGTTTGCTGTTTCGCTGTCCCAAAAATGGGGCCGAAAACTGGCCCCAAACACGGGGTCGCAATATGGCCGGAAGAAGCAGAGGCCTCCAAAACTGCGGCCCCACTTCTAGGACCAGAGTTTTGCATACACAGTCAGCCCCCTGTGTGCAGTGAGTAGTGGAGACTCTGGAACCTTTCGTTCGTTTTCCTTGCATTGGGATTCACAAAGCCATATCCAAGTTTCACCTTGAGGGCTGGCCGTCAAGAATGCATTTTTCACATGCAAAGAGGGCCCTAGTGGCAGCGCCGTTTGAGCACAAACCGATTCACAGCCAGAGGCATTCTCCACAACTGGGGAGGAAACCAACTGCCAACGGACTATGTTTGGGAAGGCATGTTACTCGAACACAAGCAAGGGGCGTGGACTCCCCATGTGGACAAACTCCCAAGATACGACGTTACCCGTAACTAACGTTCTTCCCTGCTCCTCAAGCCCGGGGATTACACACCTCCCATCTGTGCTTACGCCCCTCGTATGCCCCCCCTCCCATCTGTGCTTAGCACCTCGTACGTTCCGATTACGCCCTTCAAACCCGCATGTAAGCAAAAGATTACGCCCTTCCCAGCTATGATTGCGGCCCTCGTACGTCCCGATTACGCCCCTCAAACCCGTATGTAAAATCATGCAGGCTGCCAGTCTGCGAGAGTGCAAGAGGTTGCGCAGTTTCTTGCGGCCCCGGAAAGTGGACCCTCCCCACTGAGTCGAAGCAGCTTCTGCGCCATGTCCCCCCATAAAACCTATATGTGGATATCTTATCTATACATGGGCCCAGTAGTTGTTCACATGAAAACATGTGAGCGCAGAGATGTTTTTACAAGACTTGTGACAGGAGACCTGGGATGTTTGTAATGGGATCTTTTTGATGCTTATCCCTTTGTATTGCATGTTGTTACATGTTGCTACATCTGTGCAACAACGGTTTTTTCGGGGCACCCGGCACGCCCGAACTGCGCGGCCCAGAGTGGTTCCTCGGTTCCGAAGAAGGAGATTAAGGAAGGTGGCATCGGCCACGTGTCTCGGCAGCATTGGGAGAGAGATTCTTCTGTCTTATGATGCAGTGCCAAGTGCAGAATGGTGTTGTCACTGACAGGCACAGTTCATTATTGAGAACACAGGCAAGATCACGGTTCTGCCCTGAGTTTGTTTCAATTTCCCACTTGTCTTGGACACAGCTACGGCGCGGGTCTGTGCAAGTCTTGCAAAGGGATTTGCAAGAAAAAATGTGGGGCCTCCTTTTGCACGGCCACATTCTTTTCAATTTCAAAGTTAGCGAGGGACCATTGAAAAACTGTTGCTGATACCTTATTGAATGATCATTTGTAAGGTAGTTTAAAAACTTATTTGTGATGTTGAGGAGTAGTACTGCCTGTGGTAAATGGGATTCCCTACCAGCTAGGTTGTAAGGCCCCCCAAAACAACTTCGAATCGGCCATAAGGCACAGCAAGCACAGCAAGCACAGCAAGCACAGCAAGCACAGCAAGCACAGCAAGCACAGCAAGCACAGCAAGCACAGCAGCTTAGGACTACTACCAGTTGGACAAGAAGAAGTTGGGCGAAGGATCCTACGGATCCGTCTGCAAGGCGAACAACATCTCGACTAAGGCAGGGCATGGCAATGTCGCAGACAGTCGTTCCCAAGGGGTGTGCCAAGGGGTCCCCAAGAGGACGGTGATGGCGGTGGCAACGTGGCACAGGCCATCCGTGCTGTGAAGACCATCTCCAAGTCTCAGATGAAGAATTTGGAGCGCTTCAAGCAGGAAATCGTGTGGTGCTGAGTCGAGGATTTGGTTTTGATTTGGCCACACTGCTAGTCACAGCTTTTGCTTTCTTTGCTTTCTTCCGTTTTCTTCGGCTGGGCTGGGTGCTGGCCTTCCAGTTCTGGGTAAAATTCAGTTTCTACAGCGCACCAGCATTTTAGCGGAGTATTGCCAGGGTTTGACGGTTTGACCAATGAGTTTTCCTTCCTTCTTTCCTTCTTTTCTCTCTTCTTCGAAATGTCCGCTCTGACTGACTTCCGCTCTTTTTTAAAACCGTGTAGATTGCTTCTACATGACTCCGCTTGACCACACAGTTGCCCAAGAATTAATCAAGATCCATGGTGGCCATGGTGGCCATGGTGGCCGTGGTGGCCGTGGTGGCAATGGACGCCGTGGAAACCATGGTGGTAGTTCCTTTGAAGCTGCCCCCTCTGAGGCCATCATGAAGATGATGGACCACCCAAACATCATCAAGCTCTTCGAGTCCTTCGAGGATCACAGGACCATAATTTATTTTTCCATATGGGAAGAATATAATCCCAACTGACGAATTTTTTTCGGAGGGGTTAAAACATGTTAAAACCACCAACCAATATACCGTACAAAAAACGATAGGGAAATCACCCATTTTTTACACCCTAAACGGTGTCATCAAACATGGCCGCGGGGAAATGTAGGTTAGCTGGCCATGTAGGTTGGATGCACCAGCTGATCGAAAAACTTGGCGTGTCTGACGGTCCAAATATGGATCCAAACAAGTTTAGAGTGTTGTGCTTGACGAGGGACACTCATCTCTCAATTCCAAATGAGAAAACAATAGAAAACAACAACCCATCAACCCATTAATGCAAGATATACACATGCAATCATATGCATGCATGTATCGAGTTGCCCCGTGAAATACACTCCGTTTTAACTCCAGAGTTCGATGCAAAAACGCGGTGGTGTGGGGAAAACGAAGTCAATGATCAAATTTAGGGTCTATGCCGCCTTTCGAAGGAACCTCAATTAGTAATTTCAGCCACTCATATGATCTCATATCTATGTGCATACTACAGATTCAACAATCATATCAGTACTTGGCAGTTGCTCCAGTTGGGATTAATTTTTTATGTGCGTAACAGGAACATCTATTTGGTCATGGAGCTCTGCTCTGGCGGTGAGCTCTTTGACCGTATCATTGAGTGGCTCGGCAGATGCAGCTTGGGGAAGGAGAAATGGGTAGGTTTGCCTCTTGGAGGTTGGGTTTATCTGAAAATGGGGTACCCCATTCCATCCATTGGTTTATCGATGATAGTCATTATCCCTATTTATATGGGCATTTGGGGATGCAGCCCATTTTGAGACACACCCGATTGATGAACATGGTCACTTTTTTGCTTTCAGAAGTTTGTAGTACAATCCTGATGTTGCTTTCGAGCCACCAGTTGGACGTCGCAGATTTTCTGGGCACAGCACCATTCGAAGCAAATCCCAGTCAACCCAAATTCAGCCGGAATCCAACTTTGGATTTTCCGAAGCATCTTCCAGCCAGGTGCAGTTTGTGTCCAGGATTTTGATCGATTTTGGTAATCTTCAAACATGCCCTCTCCCCATTGAACTATCTATCTATCTGTCTATCTATCTATCTATCTGTCTGTCTTTCTATCTTTCTATCTTTCTATCTTTCTATCTTTCTATCTATCTATCTAATCCAATCTAACTTAATCTAATCTAATCTAATCTAATTTAATCTAATCTAATCTAATCTAATCTAATCCAACTATCTATCTATCTATCTATCTATCTGTCTAGCTATCTATCTATCGATCGATCGATCTATCTATCTATCTGTCTAGCTATCTATCTATCTATCTATCGATCGATCTATCTAATCTAATCTAATCTAATCTAATCTAATCTAATCTATCTTATCTATCTTATCTATCTTATCTATCTTATCTATCTATCTAATCTAATCTAGTCTAATTTATCTAGTCTAATCTAATCTAATCGAATCTAGTCTAATCTAATCTAATCTAATCTATCTATCTATCTAACTATCTATCTATCTATCTATCTAATCCAATCTAACCTAATCTAATCTAATCTAATCTAATCCAACTATCTATCTATCTATCTATCAATCAATCAATCAAAAATCGGGTTTTGGGTTGTTTGAGGATAGGGTACTGTACTCCTAAGTCCAGTGGTTTATCGTTTGTCGTCATTGTCCACAAGATTTGGATCTGTTTGGGGGTATACCATATACCGTCATTTTCAGACACACCATCCATTATCAATGAGTTAAATCCCTTTTTTTGCATGTTCAACTCCCAAGCAACTGGAGGATTTTTGATGCTCAAATGCCATGAATCATGAGATCCCATTAAATCAATACCATTTTGGGTGAATAGACCCCCAATGTTGGTTGGTGAAATCTCCCCCATGTAACATTTCGCCAGCACGAATGGGTAGAACATTTCGCTGAGGTCAGGCCACTTCTCTGAACAGCAGGCTGCCATCCTCATGCAGCAGATCATTCGCCGGGGAAGCCCAGAGTCTGAGCACTTTTAGAAGTTGAGATGTCGAAAAAGTGCACGCCATTGTGGCACGAAGTACATTTCCAAGTCAAAATGTACAAAGCACCTCATGTTCGGACCACTTTTGGAAGTTGAGATGTCGAAAAAGTGTACGCCGTTGTGGCGCGCAGCACGTTTCGAAGTCAAAAGTGTAAAAAACTGAGAGGCTCGGAGCACTTTTTGACGTTCAGCAAGGGATTGTGCACCTTGTCAAAAGTGAGCAAAACGTGAGGGTTTTGTAGCAGTTTCAAAAACGATGGCAGGCGTGGGGCATATGGAGAGGATCTGGCAAGATGCATGTCGCGTGGCAGGCGCAGTACATGAGATCAGAGCTGTTAGGAGGTGCGGGCGCTGATTTCTGCATCAGATCTTCAGTTTTGGGAAGATGATTTGGCGTGACAGGTGCAGCACTTCGTATGACCTGGCATCACTTTTTCCTGGCAGGCGCAGTACTTTAGACAGGTGGAGTGGAAAAATCGCAAAACGCATTGGTACGAGGCCGTCAGCTCTGCATTCAGCTTTCCATTTTTGAAAGAAGTCTCGCAGAATTGCTTCGTTTTTGATGTTGTCAACTTCGAAAAATCAGGAAGTCTCGCAGAATTTTCGTTTTTGACGTTGTCAAGTTCAAGCATTAAGGAAGTCTCGTAGAATTTCTGCGTTTTTGATGTTGTCAAGTTCAAAAACTGAAGAAGTGTCACAAAATAGCTGCGTTTTCAAGCTTGCAGCTAGACAGGCAGACAGGCAGACAAACAGATAGATAGATAGCTAGATAGATAGATAGATGGATAGAAAGATAGATAGTTTAGATAGGTAGATTAGATAGATGAGATAGATAGATGAGATAGATAGATGAGATAGATTAGATAGATAGATAGATAGATAGATAGATAGATGGATAGATAGATAGATAGATAGATAGATTGATAGATAGATAGATAGATAGATAGATAGATAGATAGTTGGATTAGATTAGATTAGATTAGGTTAGATTGGATTAGATAGATAGATAGATAGATAGATAGATAAATAGGTAGGTAGATAGATAGATAGATAGATAGGTAGGTAGATAGATAGATAGGTTAGATAGTTAGTTAGATAGTTAGATAGATAGATAGATAGATAGATAGTTGGGTTAGATTAGATTAGATTAGATCAGATTAGATTAGATAGATAGATAGATAGATAGATAGATAGATTGGATTAGATTGGATTAGATTAGATTAGACAGATTAGACTAGATAGATTAGATTAGATGGATAGATTAGATAGACAGATTAGATAGATTAGAAAGATTAGATAGATTAGATAGATTAGATAGATAGATAGATAGATAGATAGATAGATTAGATTAGATTAGATTAGATTAGATTAGACTAGACTAGACTAGATTAGATTAGATTAGATTAGATAGATAGATAGATAGATAGATAAATAGATAGATAGATAGATAGATAGGTTAGATAGATAGACTAGATACATAGATAGATAGATAGATAGATAGATAGGTAGATAGATAGATAGATAGGTAGATAGATAGATAGATAGGTAGATAGATAGATAGATAGATAGATTGGATTAGATTGGATTAGGTTAGATTAGATTAGACTAGATTAGACTAGATAGATTGGATTAGAAAGATAGATTAGATAGATAGATTAGATAGATAGATTAGATAGATTAGAAAGATTAGATAGATTAGATAGATTAGATAGATAGATAGATAGGTAGATAGATAGATAGATTAGATTAGGTTAGATTAGATTAGATTAGGCTAGACTAGACTAGATTAGATTAGATTAGATTAGATAGATAGATAGATAGATAAATAGATAGATAGATAGATTAGATAGATAGATAGATTAGATACATAGATAGATAGATAGATAGATAGATAGTTGGATTAGATTAGATTAGATTAGATTAGATTAGGTTAGATTGGATTAGATAGATAGGTAGATAGATAGATAGATAGATAGATAGATTAGATAGATTAGATAGAGTAGATAGATTAGATTAGATTAGATTAGATTAGATTAGATAGATAGATAGATTAAGATAAGTTAAGGTAAGTTAAGATAAGATAAGGTAAGATAGATAGGTAGATAGGTAGATAGATAAGATAGATAGAGAAGATAAGATAGATAGATAGATAGATAGATAGATTGATAGATAGATAGATAGATAGTTGGATTAGATTAGATTAGATTAGATTAGGTTAGATTGGATTAGATAGTTAGATAGATAGATAGATAGATAGATCGATGGGTAGATAGATAGATAGATAGATAGATAGTTAGATAGTTAGATAGTTAGATAGGTAGATAGTTAGATAGTTAGATAGTTAGATTAGATTAGTATAGATTAGATTAGTATAGATTAGATTAATTTAGATTAGATTAGATAGATAGATAGATAGCGAGAGAGAGAGAGATAGGTAGGTAGGTAGGTAGATAGATAGATAGATAGATAGAGAGAGAGATAGATCGATGGATAGATAGATAGATAGATAGATAGAGAGAGAGAGAGATAGAGAGAGAGAGAGAGATAGATAGATAGATAGATAGATAGACAGAGAGAGAGATAGATAGATAGATAGATAGATAGATAGATAGATAGACAACTACAACTACAACCACCACTACCACTACCACCACACTACACTACACTACGCTACACTACACGAGACGACACGACACGACACGACACGACACAACACTACACTACACTACACGAGACGACACGACACGACACGACACGACACGACACTACTGCTACAGCTACAGCTACAAATGCAAGTATACTATGCTACGTTACACTACACCAATTACACTACACTGCACTACACTAACTACACTAACAACTACAAGAACAAGTACTACCACAACTACAACTACAATTACAACTACACTACACTACACTAATTACACCGCAACACGCTACAACTACAAGTGCAACCCAATGACAACCACACTACATGACACAACACTACACTACACTGATTACATTGCATTACACTACAACCACAGTTGCAATTGCAACTACAACTGCAACTACCACTGCCACTACATTACATGACACTACACTACATTACACTGCACATACTACACTACACGACACGACGCGACACGACACTACACTACACTACACTAATTACACTGCACTACACTACAGCTACAACTACACTACCTTGCACTAGACTACACTATACACTATACCTCGACACTACACGACATTACACTGCACTATGCTACACTAATTACACCACACCACGCCTACAACTGCAACTGCACTTGCCAATAAACTAATTACACTACAACTACACTACACTACAACTACAGCTACAACTGCTACTACAACTGCGCTACACCACACTACATCTAGCAGTTGCGGTAAGGTGACCACTGCAACCATTGCAACAATTCCAACCATGCCAAAAAACAAAATTCCAACCACCTGTCGGTCCATCAGTGGATTCGCTCTACCACCCTCTCCTATAGGTTTCCTATTTTTGAAACTTCCGCTGCCGCCTTGTGCGGTACTACTGGTATAAATGTAATAGAATCTAATTTTCGAGCCGCTTCGCGACCAGAACCGCCCGCACCCAGGGAATAGGACAAAGAAGCGGGCCTACTTGCCCCAACCAAAAGCCGACTGCGGTCAAACTTGGTCGTTCTTGGGCCGCAGGAGCTCACTTGGGCCCAAGTGGGGTCCAACGTGGCGCAACTTGGGCACGTTTGGACGCAATTTGGGCTTAGCACGTCCCGTGGTGCTGAAGTTGGGCCCAAGGCAAGCCCAATGTGGGCGACATGGCCTTCCACACCCCCATCAAAGCAAAAAAACGTTGGAAATCGCGGTGAAAACGTAATTTTCAGCTTTGGGCCCAAAGCGATCCAGATGGAACGCAAATTGAAGCCATGTGATGCACATGGGCAGCTTCACACCAAGTTGGGCCCAGCGGAGACGCAACATGAGGAACATTGCTTTAAACGAAGCGTCATCGATAGCCAAAGAATGTGGAAAATACTAGTGAAAAACGGGCGTTTTGAGGATTTCGGATTGGGCTGGCCATGTCCTCATCTTGAAGCCATATGGACCTCAACATGGCCCCCAAACGGGTCCAACTTGGGGCCAAATTCCGGCACATCCAAGCCAAGTTGGGGCGAAGTTGGAGGCAAATGGGCCCAAGTTGGGCCTGGTGACCAAAGCCGGCCCATCATCGAAACGGCGCATTTGGACAATGTTGGGCCAATCTGCAAACCACAGTCCTGTGCACTGTTTGGCTTCCTGTCCCGGGCGAACGTGCACCCCCCAGCTGAAGCCGCACCAGTGAACAGAGGACTGTTCGAATCAATCGGCTCCGCTCCTAAACTATCACGCCTCGGCACCTTTGGGGCGGGCGGATTTTATATGTCCAATACTAATTGAATGATGAACTAACTATAATATAAACATGTATAAACCAAGTATATATATATATGTGTGTATACATAGTAATAGCTAGAGATGATACACAATACAATTTGAAATCGGGGAAGAGAACCAACGATTTGGGATGCAAGCCTGAAAATATTGGGACAAAACAAACCATTTCCAGGCAGATCAAGGGATTGGCTGAGGTGCTATTTACTACATGCACGAGAACCAAGTGTGCCACCGTGACTTGAAACCCGAGAATTTCCTCTTCATGACCAAGGACTTGGGTGAACCTCACACGGCGCTTATGCAAACCTTCCTATCTCCGTTCCGGACAGATGCGGTTGACCCCTTGGCTGCTCAGGCTTCTCAGGTGGAGCATATTGAAACTTTCGTTGCTGTTTTAGTCAAACCCTTACATTCCCTGCCGCCTTCATTCCTTCATCCGCACCGTCCGTGTTGCAAAATCCTCAGCCCAGAGCCATGTCATCCATCCTGAGTTCCGCTGCCAAGAAGCGAATCTTGTCAGACCTCAAACACCTCCAAGAGGAACCCATCCCGCTGGCAGCAGCGGCCCCCTGTTCTGATGACATCAGTCTTTGGAATGGGATCATTGGTGCCCAGATGGAAGTGACCAACATCGGCTTTGTCACAGTGCCCTTGCATTTCCTCATTGAATTTCCGTGTGACTACCCATCCAGTGCACCGAAGATCGGCTTCTCCTTCGAGTTTGAGTACCGTGGAGGTGCTTCCTACATCATGCGCGAGGGAAGGCTGGTTGGCAAGAAGGTGATTTGCTTAGATGTCTTGGGAAACTTCGACTTCGTGCACACCGAGTGGAAGCAGACCGTTGGAAGCGGTTGGAGCCCTGCATACACCGTGACCACGCTACTCATCCAGCTCCAGTCGGTGTTGTCCGACCTGGGGGACAACATGTCCCAGAAGGAGCACGGGGGGTTTTGCAAGCCGTCGGCATCATCCTAGAAGATTATACAGTAGATCGTGACAAATATTGGAGGTGAAGTCCACAAGTCCATTATTTGATAGGGTTTCCGCTAGTGCCGCTAGTGGTAAAAGGTGAGTGAATCAGAACTTGATATTATATCAAATCCAAGATGTGTGGTGTTCGATGAATCGTGGTGACCGCCAAGCCAACGCTGGAGGAGCGTGACGTCACTTATCAGTCAGCGGTGCGCTTCTGTGAGAAGAACACCCAGGCCATTTTGGAGATCATGGATGAGGACATCGTGAACGAATGTGAACAAAAAACATGTTCAATCTCAGATTTGAAATGCATGGAAGGCAGGCCGGCAGGCCACATGACTTTGAGCTGCATCCATTTTGATTGTTGAACAGCGTTCTTCTTTTATTGTAAATGCTTCGCCAACAAAATAGTATTGAACACATGTGTTCAAAAAATGCCACCTCAGTTTGTTAGCAAATCGACTCCCATCCTCCATATTATTTAGGGATCATTCATTCCCATTAATTCCGATTGATACCCGTTGATTTGTTGGATAAGTTGATTTTGCAGGACGAGATCCGTGAGCTGCGCTCCGCGCGCGTGGCGCAGCAGCAGCTGCTGAAGATCTGCCGCAATGACACAGCGCTGGCCGAGAAGGTCAACGGCTTCGCCAACAAATTGGGGCTTAAGGAGAAGGCGGCCCGTGCATGGGGATGATGCAATGATGGGGTGATGGGGATGGGATGGGGATGGTGACAGTTGGCTGGCAAGAGATGTTGAGGGTGGTTTGAATGCTTCCAGTCTGCCTTTCAGGCCTTTTGTTAAACAGCCACCTCGAGGGGACGTTTTGGTCGCAGGAGGATGACATGCAGACCTTCCTGGAGCTTCTGTCAGAGGTGGCCAGCATGGGTTCGTCGCAGTCCTCCGATGCGGAATCGGAGCCCAAGGTGGATAGTACCTCGATTTGGTGGACGGTCAGGGATGGTGGGGCTGAAAGATCCTGAAAGATGCTGAACGTCTTAAGTTTCAAGCTAGCTTAGGGAAGAAGATTCACGAAGATGTTGTGCATGACTTAAGCTTGACCATCTCAGACCATGCAATCGACTTTTGATGGCTTTTTGCCTTTTTGCCAGCCGCTCGTAACGGAGTGTTGTTTCTTCCTGTTATGGTTGCCCACCCAAGATCGCAACCTGAGGTTTCCAACTTGGATTTCTCATTTACTTTTCCATTCATTTTTTTTGAGGTTTTTACCCGCGAGGTGGCGAGTCAATCCAGCTGAGTTTTCCAGAAAGTTTTCAGGCAACATCTGCTGCTGGAGCACCGGGAAACTCTACACCCAGGCCCTGCTAGGCGTGGGCATCAACCGGGAGAGGAAGAATCTCAGCACGGCGGCGGAGCTGTTCTCGAAAGAAGCCTTTGACGGAGGGCTCAGGCAGAACACCGAGCCTTGGAAGAATTTGATTTTGACCAATGAAGATCTAGGGATTTAAACCTGCTTGAAACAGGCGTTGAGTCTTGGTGACTGTAGCAGAAACTTACAAGAGCCATGCAAAGTATAAGCTGGTATAAGAGCTCCAAACTTCGCCGAAGTTGGAAGAATAGGGGATGAACACTGCAAAAGCACTCGAAGAAGCTGGAGATATGGTAAACCCAGTATAATACATCATGCCTACTTGGGGCTTACCAGTAGTACCGCACAAGGCGGTGGCGGAAGTTTCAAAATAGGAATCCTATAGGAGAGGTTGGTTGTTGTGAATCAAGGATGGCAGAGCGAATCCACTGATGGACCGACAGGTGGTTGGAGTTGTGTTTTTTGGAATGGTTGCAATGGTTGCAGCGGTCACCTTACCACAACTGCTGGATGTAGTGTGGTGTAGTGCAGTTGTAGCTGTCAGTTGTAAGTGTCAGTTGTGGTGTGGTGTAATGGAGTGGAGCTGCAGCTGTAGCTGTAATGTAGTGTAATTAGTGTATTTGCAAGTGCAGTTGCAGTTGTAGCCGTGGTGTGGTGTAATTACTGTGGTGTAGTGTAGTGCACTGTAATGTCGTGTAGTGCGGTGCAATTAGTGCAGTTCAGTGTAGTGTAATGTAGTGTAGTGGAGTGTAGTGTGTGTAGTGTAGTGTAGTGTAGTGTAATGTAGTGGTAGTTGTAGTTGTAGTTGCAGCTGCAGTTGTTGTGTAATGCAATGTAATCAGTGTAGCGTAGTGTTGTGTAATGTAGTGTGGTTGTAGTTGTAGTTGTATTTGTAGTTGTAGTGTGCTGCCGTGTAATTAGTGTAGTGTAGTTGTAATTGTAGTTGTAGTCTTGGTAGTAGTAGTAGTAGTAGTAGTTGTTGTTGTTGTTGTTGTTGTTGTTGCAGTTGTTAGTGTAATTGGTGTAGTGTAGTGTGTTTAGATGTAATTAGTGTAGTGTAGTGTAATTAGTGTAGTGTAATGTAGCGTAGTATATTTGCATTTGGAGTTGTAGCAGTAGTGTAGTGTAGTGTAGCGTAGTGTAGTGTAGTGTAGTGGTAGTTGTAGTTGTAGTTGCGAGTGTCTATCTATCTATCTATCTATCTGCAAGATTGAAAACGAAGCTATTCTGCGAGACTTCCTCAGTTCTTGAACTTGACAACATCCAAAACGAAACAATTCTGCGAGACTTCCTCAATTTTCCGAGTTGACAACACCAAAAATGAAACAATTATGCGAGACTTCCTTCAAAAATGGAAAGTTGAGTGCAGAGCTGACGGCCTCGTACCAATGCGTTTTGCGATTTTTCCAGTCCACCTGTCTAAAGTACTGCGCCTGCCACGAAAAAGTGGTGCCAGGTCATACGAAATGCTGCACATTTCACGCAAAATCATCTCAGCAAACATGAAGATCTGATGCTCCTAAATGCAACCCGTCTCAGGAAATCAGCGCCCTGACCTCCTAACATCTCTGATGAACATGTCTCTTGTACTGCGCCTGCCACGGAAAATGCATCTTTGCAGATGCTCTTCAAATGTCCCACGCCTGCCATCGTTTTTGAAACTGCTACAAAACCCTCACGTTTTGGTCACTTTTGACAATCCCTTGCGCCTGCCACGCGAAACGACATCTGAACCTCCAAAAATGGTCCGTACATGGTGTGTTTTGTACATTTTGACTTCGAAATGTGCTTCGCGCCACACCGGCGTGCACTTTTTCAACATCTCAACCTCCAAAAGTGGTCCGGAGCGGGTGTGTTTGTACATTTTGACTTCGAAATGTGCTTCGCGCCGCAACGGCAAGTGGCCCGGAGCTGGTGTGTATTGTACATTTTGACTTCGAAATGTGCTTCGCGCCACAACGGCGTGCAGTTTTTCGACATCGCAACCCCCTTAGTGCTCCGAACCTGATGTGTTTTGTACATTTTTACGTCGGTCTGTGCTTCGCGCCACAACGGCGTGCACTTTTTCGACATCCCAACTTCCAACAGTGTTCCGAAGGTCAGGTGTTTTGTGCGTTTTTACTTCGAAATGTGCTTCGCGCCACAACGGCGTGCAATTTTTCATCTCTCATCTGGCCAGCTGGCTCCGCGCCCGCCGCTTTAGCGAGCCGACTTTTCGACCCTCCGGAGCCGCAAACCATTGGAAAAACACAGTGTTTCGCGACTTTCCTACCTTTTTCGCGCACCTGGATCTTCTTTCTTCTGAGACTTTCTCTTTTTTGATATTCTTTCTTCTTTCTTCTTTCTTCTTTCTTCTTTCTTCTCTTCTCTTGTCTTCTCTTCTCTTGTCTTCTCTTCTCTTCTCTTCTCTTCTCTGACTCTTCCCACCTCTGCTTTTCATTTGTCCATATTGTCGGAAGTTTGATTTCTAAACTTCCCTCGATCATTGGGACTCAGTAGTTGCATGCTATATCCCATTCTTTTTGCAATTTGCATGACATCACACTGCGGGCGCCCACGGGGAAAATTAACTGAAAACCTGCCACTCGCCCCACTCGCACCACTTGCCTTTGTAGCAAGAGGCTGAAATCACTTATTTCTGCCACAAGTGGAGCAAGCGGAGCAAGCGGGGCAAGTGGCCGAAATCACTTAGCGGCCCCACGGGGCAACCACACTGTGACATCATGAGCCCAAGAGTGTAGATTGAGATGTTCCAAGTGTTTTTCCATGATGTTCTTAGAAGATGTTCCAAGGACAAGTCGCCTTTCGAGTTCTTTTTGCCGGTGTGGATCAACCAGGCGCACGCGGCTGACCAGGCAAAGTGGCAACAGGAGCTCCTGCGCTCGGTGAAGCTCATTGCGGCCAGGGCCTTTGAGGTCACAGACGAAGACGAGGCGCTCCGTTCTTTGCTACGGTTGGAACTGGGGATGGGAAAAGATCAGGGATGACATGCGACGGAAGTAGAAAAACAAGTCATGGATGAAACTCCAGCTGTGGTTTATTATAGGATGTTCCATGATGTTCCACGATGTTCCATCGCCTCCCTTGAGCTCTGTATTGTTTGTGCAGGCAATCTTGGAGGTGTTCCCACGCCTGATCAACCAGATGATCGTGGAGATGATGAGGCCAGATGCTTCGAAAAGTGCCGCCATCGCCACCTTTGAGGCGCTGTGCAACTTCTGGCGCACCTTCCGATGGCTGGTAGACACCCGGCCCAAGCTCCGCGGCCGGGTTGGCACCAGGCTGAGCAACTTCGTGAAGGATGAGAGCTTCAGGCGTTGAACAGTGGCCGTTTCATGATGTTTCATGCAGGAAAAGGATCGTTTTTTTGGAATGGCTTCCAGGATTCCATTGATTCCATCAGGTTTCAAAGATATTCCGATATTCCAGATATTTCTAGATATTCTGGCTGTGCACGGCTTGACAACCTTTTCCACACACTTCCACCATCTAAGTTGCCGCATCTTGCACGAAGCCACCGAAGTTCTGTTGACGTCCAGGCACAAAGATCGATGCCCCGACATCGGCGCCTTGCTGGTTCTCTTCACCGTGTTGCAAGGCGACAAGTCTTGTCCCTCGCGGGAGGAGTTTCTGCAGCACTACGCAGATGAGAATTCCCTCCGCTGGGTGATGTGGTGGCAGCGATCCAACACCCCACCACAAGGGGCCCCAGTGTTTCAGGCCACACAGGTCTCACGGGAAATCCTGATGTTCCAGATGACGGTCATTGAGGTGGTGATCGGAGATGTGCCAACCACCCTGAAGGACGAACCCTCATGCCACCCACCAGGTGGATATTGAATATTGTACAGAGATGGACATAGCCAAAGAAGTCCATGTATCAATCTTTGGTGCCCAAGTACTTGAACTACCATTCAGTACCCATCCACACCCCTTACATAGGTGTTTCTGCCACGCTACTTTTCCACCCGTTGACTGCCATTTCCCCTTCCACCCCTGGTTGCACTGAACCCTGCCAGTGGAACCGCCCTGTAGGAGATGGAGCTGACGAATTGCAAGTTGCCGGAGCGCCTGGAGCGCTTGCAGCAGGAATGGCGCCAGCGGAAGGCTTCGGTGAAGGATTGGGGCGCCTATTTCCGCAGCCTGGGGGTGGCGCAGCCTGCCTTCGGCTCCACCGGGGAGTGGATCGCCAGCTGCGTCCGCAGAGCGGAGGCCAAGGGTCCAAAATATGGTGGGAACGCTGGGAACGGTGGAAATGGCAAGGGAAAAGGCAAAGGCAAGGGAAAGTGGTAGACCATGGTAGACCTTTCTGATCCTTTTTGGATTTGGCTGTGAGCCAGTTGCGATGGTCCTACCCGCCCATGTACAGTGTACAGACCGTGTACAGAGAAACTCGAGCGTCGCTCGTTTGAGGTGGATTTCACTGGTGTTTTAAGACTTTCACTTTAGAGTGCCCGTGCAAGAGGGCAATGCGACTTATGCAACATGTTGTCATTGAAGCATTTCTGTTAGTTGGACCAACATAGAAAGAAACCAGAAAAGATGGGCCGCAGGGGCGTTTGCAGCTCACAAACCCAGCTATGGGCCACTCAGACTGCAGCTTTGGAGGTGTTGAGGTTTTCCGTGGACGTTGTTTAAGCAAAGCTTAAACCGCAAAGGGAACTGCGTAGGTAGGGATTTCGCATAAGTTGAATGTCTAACTTCAACATTTTTATTTGCCCCCACCCTTCAAGCCATCTGAGTACCTCACCAGGACCCCATCGAGAAAAACTTTTTGAAGATCATTGACTTCGGCCTCTCATGCAAATTCACTCCCGGGAAGGCCAGCTAAGCCACGGATTATTGGTGATCGAAAGTGATCAACCTGGAAGGGTGGCATGTGGATGGTTTACAAACCCAAACAGGTGGTATAGCTGGCATAACCATATTATACAACCACACCTTTTATACATACAATATACATACAATATACATACAATATACATACAATATACATACAATATACATACAATATACATACAATATCACAATCTACACAGATGCAAACAGTCTACATATATATATATACACACTATATTTACAAAACTATATTTGCACGATATATGCATATACAATGTATATATATATACACGTACACACTGAATGTAACTCTATGTATATTATATATATATATTATTTGTAAAAATGGAACGCTATATATATATATATATCTATAAGTGTAACATATCATTATGTAAAACGATAAAACGATATATTCACATAGTTATATCTAACGATATACAACTAGTATATAAACCGACTGTATACAACGACTAGATGTATAGCAATATGGCACAACCTACATGATATAACATTATACCAATGCACATGCATACATGCATGCATATATACATAAGCATACATAATCATACATAAGCAAACATTATCACACATAATCATACATAATCATATGTACCCACACATAAGTACAAACATAAATACATGGATAATCAAACATAACCATACTTAATCGTTATATACAGAAATAATCATACAATAATACATGCATAACCATACATAAATACATTCTTAATCGTACATACATACCTACATACATAATCATACGTACAAAAATACGTACACAAATACATGCATACAAAATCATACAAAACAATACATGCATGCATGCATGCATGCATGCATGCATATAAAGAAACAAACAAACAAACATATACATATACATATACATGTACATGTGCATGTACATGTACAAACATACAAACATACAAACATACAAACATACATACAAACATACATACATACATACATACTTACAAACAAACAAACAAACAAACATACATACATACATACATACACACATACACATACACATACACATACACATACACATACATATACATGCATGCATGCATACATACATGCATACATACATACATACATACATATACATACATACATACGTACATACATACATACATACATACATACACACATACATACATACATACATACACACACATGCATGCATGCATGCATGCATACATGCATACATACATACATACATACATACATACACATACATACATATACACACATAGGCATACATAAGCATACTTTATATACATAAATAATCATACATAATCATACTTAGTCTTTCAGAATCACACATAATCATACATAATCTTACATACTTACATACATACATGCATGCATGCATGCATGCATGCATACATACATACATACTTACTTACACACACAAATACATACATATTTTGTTATGTGTCATATATATATAACGTTTTTCTTTTCAAGTTAACATATATTTATTCCATGCAAATATTTAGTATAGCACAAATATTTATAGCATATATTGTATAGAGCAAGATTTTATGTATAACACACACACATATATATATATCACATTTATTTTTAACATATAGGTATATATACACACATACTTTAAATATAACACATGCGAAGTCACTCACACAAATAACTGACACATATAAATATGTATATATGTATATATTCACTACCAATATATAATATCAATCAATATATCTTAGTAACAATATTATATATAACTTGAACAAGCCTGGGAGTATAAAGCCCACCAGAAACAAGATTAAAACCGTGGCTTCAGCCCTGGTCAAGCAGCCGGCCGACTCCCCGGCAAACTAGGCGGCAACATGCCGGTCAAGTTAGCAGAAATGCGGGGTAAAAAAAGGGCAGCAAACCGAGTAGATTTTTTGCCTCAAAAGGCACAACCTGGCACCAAGATGCATTAATTGCTTCCAAGTGGAAATGCGCCTGGCATTACTTCAATAGCTCACTGCCGGACACCAGGTGTTTTCGGGTTTTCATTATCACCTTCGCGCCTGCCAAGCTGACGGTTAAAGGTCTCCAGCGCCCAGCGCTGCGCAGTGGACTGGACAGGTTGGTTGCGTGGACCTTGACTGGTTTCACAGAAAAGCTGCTCAAGCAGCTGCTGCCCCTGTGGCAAGCTTGAGCACTGAGAACAGTGTTGGAAAAAGAACGCTTCAATTGTCAGTAGTTGTGACGGGGCTTGCGTTGGAGACGGCGTGGGCATGGCAGAAAGCTGGGAAGAACTTGGCGCGAACCTGACGGCTTCGCGTTAATCTGCCGGAAGCCCGGGGCTGGCGGAAACCCAACGGAACCTAGCGGAACACGGCGGAAAACTAGCAAAAACTTCCGAAAAGAGTATAAATCAGTAGGATTTCTGGCGTGGCCTTCAACTTACTTTTTTTCCGCCGGGTTGTGCCAGGTTTCTGCTAGGTTTCCGCCGAATTCTGCCGGGTTCTGCCGGTCCCGGCTACACCAGGTTGCACTGGATTGTGCCAGGTTTCGTGAGCCGCGAGGTTTCTGCCAGTTGCGCCGCATTCTGCCGGGTTTTGCCGGGTTTCCGCCAACGAGGTTCCTGCTCCCGACTCCCCCTTCGATTTACTTTTTTCTGTGGGGTTACGCCCGCGAGGTTCGAGGTTTCTGCCAGGAGTGGGGAGAATCCTTGCCAGGTGTCTGCCAGGCTTGCGGCAATCAAAGAAGTGCTTTTTACAATTGCTCGGACATTGTCCAAGTGAGCTTATGGCAAAAATCCCCATTAAGAGGGCTTCCCTTTTCTACCTTGAAACGTGCCAGCTCTCATTGACTTTTGCATTGGACACATTTGCCATTGGAAATGTCCATACTTTGGCTTGGCCACAGCTAGTTCACGCGCTTTGCCGTGCCACTTGCCGGTAATTTTGCTTGTCCATCATTGCTTCGGATGCTCTGCCGTACCACTTGCCGGTACACATGCCATGGTTTTTCGTTCCCACAGAGTGAACCACAGGTTCTGCCGCTAAGTTTGCCGGCCGCAAAACCCGACAAATCGGGTTTCTTGAGTTGCGACCGCCCCTCTGCCAGAGCTTGCCATCCCTTGTGCCGCAGCCGCAGTTTTAGGTCAATTGGCCAAACAAATATTTATCTGTTTTTATACTACCTCGCCATTTTCAATATATAACTGTTTTTTAACGATATACGTACGCAATATATATATATAGATAGATAGATAGATAGGTAGATAGATAGATGGATAGATAGATAGATAGATAGATAGATATTATTATTATTATAATTATAATATATATATATATATGTATATATAAATGTGTAATTATATGTATATATGTGTATAGCTACATACTTGCAACTGTATAACAGTAAAACTAAAATTGTATGACTATATTTTGTTGCATATACATATATCTATGATTTACACAACATTTATGTGATACAACATTTTGTAGCACGATATAAACATGAAACTTGAAACGCATTTTCTGGCCGGCCACAGGCGGCCACAGGACACACACACACACAATGGGAGGACACAGCTGGATAACAAAAGAAGAAAAATACAATTTTAATTGTGGGGTGGGCAATTGATGACATGGTGAAGACGTGGTGCCATGGTACATAAAGTTTTGGGTGTCAGTTGGGTCCAATGTACTTCCGCGATTTGTTGCCAGCCCTTGTCGACCAAAGCCGGCACTCCGTACTACGTGGCTCCCCAGGTCACGGGCTGGTTGCGACCGGGGGGCACGACATTTCGGGTGGGTTGTTAGGTCACCTTGTGAAAGATCAGCAAAAACAAATAGAACAAGTGAAATTGCATGATGACTGGTGCCGCTGGCTGGTTGGACGCCTGATTTTACAGGTGCCTTTCCATTGCACAAATTGCCCAGTTGCTCACAGGGTGAGGATTTGAAAGAGACACAGTTGAGACTGCGCAGTTTGATGATGTAACTTCCCAGGTTTTTACTCAGGGTTACTAGTATGGCCAAAATTGGAAATTCACTAGTCTGAAAGCTTTAATTCGCTTCAGATTTGGTTCAACGTCCCCATTTTTTGGGCAGTCCTTCCCTACCGCTTGACCAGACAGTTCTTACATTTTCAGGTTTCCACATGGGGTTGGGGTTGCTTGTAATCCCCCATTTCTTGTTGGCGGCCTGCGGCCCCGCAGCATTGACCATGGCGAGGTGTTGGCTGGGAATTACGACCAGCTGAGTGATCTTTGGAGCTGCGGCGTCATTATGTATGTCCGGAAGCCGAAGGTTGAGGAAAAACAGATACACTGGATGAATAAAATTTGACTAAGAAACAGTCCGAATCAACATGGACACCTTGCAAGATTGAGTCGACTCAGTTGACGATCGAAGCGATGAATGGCTTCCCGGTTTCCCAACATCGTTGCACGATGGTCAAACAAGTCCAAGGTGCTGCTGTGCGGCTACCCTCCCTTCTTCGGCGACACAGATTCGGAGGTCTTGGCCAAGGCGCTTTGCCATGGGAACCCCCTCAACCATTGTCCCAGTTATTGTCGGTTTTACTGGGTCCGCTTGTATTGTTTTATGAGAGGATTGCCAACCCAATATTGTCCACCTGGTTTACCAATAGTTGGATCATGATCAACCCAATCAACCCATGCTCATCATAATTCTTCCAAATTCTCATCCAACATCTTTACCCGACCATTTTTATCAGCCTTGGGGGCCTCGGGCCAGGTGCGCTTGGGCAACTTCAACTTCAACCCAGCGGATTGGAAGAACGTTTCAGAGGACGCGAAGACGTTGATCCGTGCGGCGCCCAGAAGTACCAGACCAGATCCAAAAAAATGGTAGGTGAACAGCATCCTTTGAGAAAGTTTGATATATATATATATATCATATATATCATATATATCATATATATATATATGTACGTATGTATATACACGCACACACTGTATGTTGTATGTGCTTGGGATGTTCAAGTTACCATACTAATTTGGGTCCGTGTTGGCTTGCCGTTAGAGTCTTTAGATTGCCAAATCTTTCCCCGATGTTTTTGTGCTCCGTTGAGGCCATTTGCTGAAGATGAACCCCAAAGACCGTTACACCGCTGAGCAAGCCTTGAACCATGAATGGATCAAGAACAAGGCACGAGGGGCAGGCTGTACTTTATGAACGGCTGTGTATATATATCTGTGTAAATTATAACGACCTCACTGACTCACTGCGACCTCACTGGAATGATGGTTAGTAAGGAGAACTATCCCAATATTGGCCTGACTTCAGGTTAGTGAATTAGTATAATTTAACCATCACATATATATATACACATAGATACATAAATTTCCCAACATATGGGAAAACTGTGGAACATCCACCTCAATTTTCAGACAAAGCCAACTCGGCCCTGCAGCCCTTTGGTTCTCTTGTGAGTTTTAGCCTCTGCTGAAAACCATGGGGTGCACGGCTGGCGTCCATCATGATGAGGGTGTGTCTTGCACCAGCACTGGCGGATGCTTGGCTGACTTCGACGTCACTAGAAATGCTGAGGATCGGGCGAACTATCCCCGAATGGCCGCAGGTTTTAGGTTACTGTAGTTAATACTTATCATTTACGCATTTGATTGGATTGGTTGTGTTGTTTCGGCTGCATGCACATAAGATTGTTGGACAGTGCCAATGCATTTCCAGCCGCCGATCGCGCAAGCGAAAACACACAGTTATTCAAAGTTGAAGCCACGAGAGCCGCAAATTCTGATGTTATTTCAATGATTCTCTCAGATTCTTCAATGATGTCAATGAATTTCTCTGATTTTTCACTGATTGTCTGTAATTTTCCATGAATTCAAAGGCCTCCAACAGCCGCATTCCCCAGGCAGCTGGAACCCGAAGTCAGAGACCTCTCTGCGAGAAGCACGGCGAAAGAAAACACCTGAAGAGGTCTTGGAGGTGACGTCGGACAACCGTCGGACTGGGCGATGATGGTTTTGCCCATCCAAAATGGGAAATTTGATGAGAAACACATGGGGATTTCAGTAGAAATGGGGATTTAAGCAGGAACATGTTCGATTTGGCACAAATTGGAATTTCCTTCATTTGGGGTTGCGGCTATTGTACACAAAATGGTCTTTGCCTCCAATTCATGGCGCTTTTCATGGGAAAAAATGGGGTCAACAACTGTTGCGACACCAGCTTTGTAGAGAATACAGCGGACCGTCACAACCTGAGCGGAAAGGAATGGAGCAGCCAGTCATGTTCGCACGATTCCAGGGGTTTTGTACACAGATCCAATAGTGAGGACAAACTATTCCCACATAATACATATATATATGGTCCCGTCCTCCGTCCCTCCACCCCCCCCCTCCCCCCCCCCATGGGTTGGGTCCCCAGGTAGCAGCCCCAATTCCCTTCTATTTGCAAGCTATTGGCAGCATTTCTGAGGTCCAGCTTCGTATTTGCTAGGTCTTTGCAGCATTTCTGACTACCAGCCTCGCATTTACTAGGTACATGCTACCTTTTAGGCGGCCTACGTAGCACACATACTCCTTCAAAGTACCTACGTGCTACCTATAGTCATATATACATGTGCTATGTATCTACTGTATCTACTTGCTATTTACTACCTGTGTACTCTGACAACACTACCCGTGTTTAACATATACCGTACCTACCATACATGTCACTGATGCCATGCATACCATACCTATCATATCTATCATATCTATCATACATACCACACATACCATACATATGAAATGTAATTACCACACCTACCATACATACAATAGCAAACATACATGCCATACATACCATACCTACCTTACATAGGAAATATTCCAGACCCATCATAGTAATCATACATACCATACAGACCATACATACTGTCATATCAAACATACCATACCCAACAGACTTACATACCATACCTACCATCCATACAATACCAACCACTCATGCCATACATACCATACCTACCATACATACCAAACATACCATACTTTCCAAACATGCCATACCAGACCGACCATACACACCATACATACCCAACATACCATACCACACCCCCACCACACCACAGGGGGGGGAGGGGGACAGCGCCACACCGCCACCACACCACAGGGGGGGAGGGGGAAGATCTCATATGGGGCCAGTATATGGGACCCATCCCATGGGGGGTGGGGGGAGGGGGGGGGTGGCAGGGCCTGGTGCATATATATATATATATATATATATGTATACATACATACATGACACAGCATATAACTATTTTGATATTGGTGTACTTTTCTATTTGTTTGGGAACTCCGCGTGGGGATTGGGGAGACCCCAAAGCTTCCACATTGGGCTAGTTGAGGGACTGGTGGATGTTAGATGACTCTGATGATTTAGTGATCTCACGTTCGAACTGGGCACAGGTTGTACTACGTTCCCAGCAACGATTTGGATCCAAAGGGACGGAAAACGGAGTCATCCTTTCAGGAGGACATGGATGTCTCTGTGAGACATGGGATTCTGTGGCACGCTCTGTACTGTTGATGTGCGGCTGGTATCAAAGTGCATCTTGACTCCTGAGTAAGAAGGATGACACAGATGAGAACGGGAAGAGGTGAAGCAATAGGAGGATCCAAAGAGAGCTCCCATTATTCCTGTACAATTTTGGGGACATCAATCAACACAGTTGGATGTTGGATGTTGTTGGAGATGGTCCCCCAGTGATTCTAGGTGTGTGAGCACTAGATCAGTACTTATCTCCCTTAAAAATCCTTAAAACAGAGCGGTCGAAACGACTGGATCGCTGTTTTCCTTCCGCCTCACAGTGGCAGGAGGCTGCTAGACTCCGTGAGCGCGAGAGGAAGCTTAATAGGATGTTATCAACGTCGAACTTTCCACGGATCTGGTCAAACTTCAACGCCACCTTTGTTGCAAGAATGTGATGGTCCAAAGTACTCACAATACTCGTGAAAGCACGAGATGCGGGGTGATTTGACCAGATTTGTCTCCCCTGATACTGATACAAGTGGTGGAGTCTACTTTAAACTACTTCGGTTACGCTTCATCGTGCGTCCGAGGGAACCACTGCTTTAGAACATCCACGTGCAACTCGTTAGACTCTGTGCACGTGGTGAAGTTAGTGGTGATATGCAGTGGTGGAAAACACATGACATGTGGCTTATTTACACGTTTTACACCTGGAACGTCTTCCAGTTTTTAGAAGCGAATAGTGAACAGCGATATAAAATTTGTGTGTATCTTGATAACATAGTGCTTCCTGTCAGCATTGTGTGCCATTGGCACAATTTTCTTTCCCACTGCACCACTTTCATATCCATGCATTTCCATGCATTTCCATGCATTTCCATGCATTTCCATTGAAGCGAGAGGTGGGATGTAGCAGCATACCTCTCAGTTTTCTGGTTGGTAGAGGTGGATCAAATTGTCGCCAGCCGGCCACCCGCGCTTTCTTCTATGCTTGGATTGATGTCTTTTTCCCTTGGCTGCTGATGTTTGGAAGTGTCGTCATGAAGGGAACCTTTATGTTGGGATGCCACTTAGCAGTTGGAAGTTGAGCTTCAATGCTCTGCAGATTTTTTCCACTCTCTTCCCATGTCGGAATCAGCCAAGCTTTGATGACTGGCCCCTGCTGTGCTGTCCAATCTTTGGATGGATTCTGTACAGCGCTGCCATCATCAGCCGGAGGTTGAGGAATCCCAGATGCAGATATCATTCCAAGAAATCTTCATGTCTAGCGCCTAGCACGTAGGAAAAGGGCTTCTCGTAGCGGCTTAGCGACTCCTTGCCTGCACAGCGATATCTGGAGTAACCTTGGTACACCGCCCACGTACCTTGCCCGTGGAACAACGTCATGGGCAATCATAATGTTCAAATTGCATCCAATTGCTTCAATTCCAATACATTTTACTAATGCGTGTTTGATGAACATTGAATTTCGCAGTTCCATGGGCCCAAATTTGGGGATGTCAAATCACCATGGAATTACGTTGTCTTCTGGGGCAAGTTTGCAAGATTTTACAAAATTCATGCCTTTGTTCGCGCATTGTCAAGTATGTGTGCAAATGCAAACAAGAAGTCTCTAGCGTATCAACCTGCATGCGTTTGAATGAACCCCCACCCACCTCTCTCCAAAATTTATGCACAAATACTGAAACCAAGCGGGCGGATTTGGGCGCACCCGCCAGGCACCCAAGGCTTCAGCCGTGGCGTTGCAGTCGAACTTTGTGGACAACTTGCGTGGCTTCCGATCCCAAAACAAGTTGAAGAAGGCGCAGTGTTGGAGTAGGAGGAGTTGGAGTAGTTATGACTTATAAAGTTATAACTTAACTCTATAACAGACCACGATATGTTTATCAATGTTTCCAAGGTTGGAAGATGCTCCTCTCATAGGAAAACCACCTAAAACAGCAGGTATTAGCTTCTGGTAATTTGCCATAGTCATGGAGAATCACTATTTTTCCTGTCTGCCATAATCCTTTTTCGACATGACATGACATGTCATCCCCGAAGCCCCAACCCGAGCAAGGCCGCCTTGCACATCATTGCTGGTCAGTTGAATGAGGACCAGATCAAGGTGCCCCCTGGTGCCGCGATGGGTGTTTCACTCAAATGCTCAAGAAAATTGAAGAGCCTAACCAAGAATTTGAATGAATTTGACAACTACAAAGAATTTTGGGTACACCATCTTGGAGATGGGTACTGCTTCTTGGTCGCTCGCACCCAAACCGCCACATTTCGCACCCATCAACAGCACATATCATAGCTTCGCTCCAGGCGCTGAGAGACACCTTCATGGGCTTGGACAAGAATGGCGGGGACCTTGGGGGATGTTTGATCGTGGGTCGGTTATATATGGCTGTTTCCATGGTGATAATGCAGTGATCATCATTTTATAGATGGAGTTTTCTTTATCAACCAGTACATTGAAATATGGAACATATTTTTGTTTTAGACCATAAAGTGGAGGGCGGGGTGATCATTTTGACCCGTACCACCCCCTCATTGGAATATGGCGATAAAGGCTCCTGCAACGAGTCCATCTGGGATATGGAAGAATGTTGAACGTGCTTTTGGAGGTGATGGCTTGCTGACCCCGGCCGAGCTCAAAGAAGGTTTGCAGAAGGCGTGGTGAAGTTGATGGACGAGTTTCAAAGCATGGAGTCGACTGTTAGACATAGATGGACAGTTTTCATGGCATGATGTCGTAATGCGGTTCGGTCTGGTTTGATGCAATATGGTATGGCATGGTGTCATTGCAGAAGTAGATTTTGAAGATTTTTGAAGCACTGATCCATCAGATTTTTTCCCGGAGATCCCTGCACCTGCGCAGGCTGGCTTGAAAGAGATCCCTCCAGATCTGCAGGCCATTATGGAGGTGTGGTTTCCAGCGGATGGAAGATGAGTTGCAGTAGCATCGTGGGAGACAGGCATCCCATATCCCATGCACCTGTAGGTACAGTACATCCCAGCGTTTCCTCATTTAGGTTCTTCCAGAGCATGATCAAATCGAAATTGGCCATGTCATGTCCATGTCCAAACATTCCATAAGTATCCATAAGTAATTTAGATATAAATTATAAATATGACTGGGATATTCCATGACATAACTGTGTTTTACCAAGGTTGCTGACCACCAACTTTTGACTGCACCCCCAGTTCTGTCGTTTGACTTCCCTACGCTCCAGGACGTGGATGCTGATGGCAGTGGCGTCATAGATTACACGGAATTCTTGGCGGCCACATTGGACAGGCTGATGGGTAGCCCATGATGGCTGGCTAGAAAATCCCTGAACTGAATTGGGGTTCACAGTTGGGACATTCATCTAGTATGCTGTTTGGCTCTTTGGCCTCAGAGGTATGTAGCTCAGAATCTTGAACTGCAGTGGGCCTGAAAGGCTCTGTGGTTCAGTGGTTCAGGACCACTTGTTGCTGACTATCAATAGGACCCGATAGGAAGATGGAAGTAATGCTAATTTCGGCCGCTGTGATCATGGCTTCCAGGCGTCAGTACATCCAGGAGGCGCTCCCAAAAAACAGCTGCGTTGGGTGAGGTTCTGGGTACCTGGACTTTGTTTGGGATTAAGATAAGATTCCTATATAATCTGTGATCTTGGCATCTGGAATCTCGTTCCCAAATGCAAAGCTTCGGGTCACAAGTTTCTGCAAACCATTGCCTCCGTTCGGTTGTGGTCCCGAACGGTAGTGGCCCCAGAATGGTAGCATTCCATGTTTCTCAAGAGACTGGCGTCCCAGGAAATTAAAGTTGATGAATCCCCAAATGTGAGCTTTTGGTGCAACCCCGCGGCAGAATGGTCATAAGAACCCTCACACTCCAGTGGGATATCCAGTTGGTTTCCCTGCACAAAAACAAACCGGATTTTGATTTTGGTGGGACTTAATTGGATACACATCCCAGGATGTATGTAGGTAGCAATTATTATTATAATTCATAATGAACCAACTTATGTAATCTGATGTTATATGGGGCCAACCACCATTCCAGATTTTGGACATGCTAGCCCTTGGGCTGAATCTGGGGCTGCAAAGGATGTTTGCTGGTCTGCTTTCAGAGTCTTCGACAGGATGCTTGGTGGCAGCTCTTGCGGATAAAAGGCAGACAGACGTTGAAAGGATCTATTTATTTCATACTGTAATTATTAGAATTCCAAAGCGATACCAAGCGTTTCAGCGCAATCCAGACACAGAAAGGCTACATAAGTTATGTAAGGTCACATTAAATTGATGGGACCTGATGGGAACTTGGATATTGGATCAACCACTCATGGGCTGAATCTGGGATGTACCACGGATGAATCTACGCCCAAGGAATGGTGATGGCAAGATCTCGCAAGATGAGTTGAAGATGGTGCTCCACAACTCCGAGGCACAGTAGTTGGTCTTGTCCAAAACCAAGGGATAGCATGGGATACTTTAAATGTGATGGTTGAGAAAAACAATGTGTTTTCCGACTGCAGCCATTATTCACATTCACGGCCATTTTGGGGCAAAAAAATGTTCCGTTAAAAAACGAGCTACTTTGAGAGATCGAATGTGAAGCCCCTGCGCATTGCTTGGACCTCCTCCAGGTGGAAGACACCTTAGGAAATGGCATGATTCTGGATCTGCTGAAGGAGGTGGATGGCAATGGTGATGGTGTCATCGACTTCCAGGCACAAAGTTGCAGAGTATGCAGAGGCACACCATAGATAAATCGATAAATCCGCCACATTTATGTCCTTACTTGGTAATCTTGGTCTATTTCTTCATTCAGTCCATTCACATACTTCTTGTGATTCTATTGTGTTCTATCTATGTGAATCATTTTGAATCTGTAGATTTGTTTGCTTCAGACCCACGCATTTTCAGCTCCAAAAGTCAGAATCAGATGCCACTTCTGCCAGTGCTTTGAAGATCTCCTGCCCCAGGAGTTCCTTCAGATGATGCGGGGCGGAAAGGTTCCGACCGGAGGCAATGCCCTCTGAGGCTGGGATCAGAGTTTCGTGAGTTAGGATCTATTTAGGGATGATCTTCTCAATCTTCTCATTTACGGATGATGTTCCCATGTACGGATTATTTTCCAATTTAGGGACGCTTTCCTTCCCAACTCAATCCCATTTCGTTCTTTTTGTTTTTTTCCAACCAAACCATTTAAAACCTTGGCAATGAAACACGGCTTGCTAGAAAATACCGCATTTAGTTCGGTGGTTTCCATCAACAGAAATGACCATTTACATATGTAATATATAGGAATATATAGGCTATAGGGGATTTCCCAGCCAGCCATGATTACCGGAGGTAAATGTTGAGGTACTCAATCTGGTTGGGCGCTTCAATGATTTTTGTTCGTTCATATTCTACATTGATTCCTCGGATGGCGATCAGAATTCATCAATACCTTTGGGATGCATTATCTCCTGGGTTCACTTTCATTGCATAAACTGCACAACCAAAGTGTGGTGACAATCTTGGTGAAACCTAGGAAATGTGAGTGCCCGCGCTACTGGTAGTGTCCACGCCCATGTCAATGACTGAGATGGAGGTTTTTAGGGTGGGTTCGTACACTTTTTTCGGCGATATTGCCAACGAACATGTTTCTCATAAACGTGCATATACTTCCTCGAGCGTTTATTTATGCTCTTTTGAAGCTGTAGGATGGTTTCCTCAGCGCTGGTACTTTGCGCCATGTCTCAAATCTTAAACAGGCAGCTCTGAACAAGTACTACTGACGCGTCCTCAACCAAAAAAGCTTGAGACAGCCCAAAAGGGGTTATCCTTCGGTAACCAAACATGGCTAGCTGGAAATTCCACCATTTATAGATGTTTTTCCAATTCTTTTCCATTAAAGATTAAAACCTCCATTTTGTTCAGGTATTTAACGGCATCCATTTGTAGTGACCATTCACGCGATGCACCAGACAGCTACCCTCGGTGGCCTTAGTCAGCTCTGGCCCGTGTCGCAGCTGTCCACGTTGCCCGAAGCGGCACCGCAAGCAACAGCTGCGTGTCAAAAACAGCGGATGTTCGTTGGAAGCAGATTTTCAGCACACAGGAGTGACTTAGGCATGAGTTTCGCGCTTGACATGGTATGGTTCAGAGAATTCTCCTGGACTTAGTAAAGCCAAAGCACCATAGATCACCATGGTTATCCCTAGCCTAGTCACCACAATCTTGAAACCCATTGGCCGATGGCTCCTGGGACAGATGCAGAGCTTGGTAGAGAGGATATGAAGGCAGTTTAAGGATGTTTAAGGTTTTCCTTACCAAAATCGACACAAGAAAGGCATGCAGGCATGGCTTGTTGTTCTTGATCCAAAGTTTTCAAGGCATGACGCTCATTCAAAGACGAACAAGCAAACCAACTCATTTCTCTTGCAGAGGTGTTTCCTTTCATATCTGCGTCAGCAACAGGTTCGTTACCATAAGGTATCTTATCCCAACCAACCTGCCGTCATTGGGGGATCTGCAGCCTTCTTTTGCTCCTGGGTTGTCTTTTGCTGCCATTGACACCTCTCAGTGTTGGATGCTCAGCCGCCGGACTCCTGTCCTGGGTGCTTTCCAAGTGAGGCAGTGGTAGCTGGTAAAGTGGAAACAAGTAGGGTGATAGATCAGATCGCAAAGCTTGAGACATGGCATTCCAATCCGTTGCTTTTTAATGATTGTACCTTACCATTATTGTTTATTGTAGATGTTGGTTTCTTGGTAGCTATTTCTATTTCTTATAATTATCAAAGCTTTGGCACTCAGCTCACTTCGCATTGGTGCGGACTGGGCCACAGGAGGTTGTTGCAATGGGCGGCTGTGCAGGACTGACGTTGCGACATCAAAACATCACTATGTTTGGAGTGCATTTGTAAGTTCAGCATCTTTTTTGGGTTTGCTATGATGCACAGGTATGTGCATGTATGTATATACAGATAATTATATATATATATATACATATGCTCACCCACCCATTTACAGCACAAAATGCATTAACGACGCATTAACGAAATGTCTGTTTGTGACTTGCTAGACCGTACATACGATCACGTAAGTTGATGGTAGTACACTTACTTCTAGACACCTCATACATACATATCACATATCCACACATGTCGCCTATACAACGAACACAGCCACGTAACATGTGCAGGTTTTCAAAGCAAACGTCAAATGCATCAACTCACTTAGTACCAATTGCTGGAGAAACACTGTGTGGACTCTACCCATATATGCATTTTTTGGCAGAAAAAATGTTGTCATATTTGTTTGTTAGAGATGCAGAAATAAACATTGGCACGGTGGGAAGACACAAGTTTCAAAGCATTTGATTTGAAGAAACATGTTGTTACAGGAAAACGCTGCTTACGGGTTACAGTCTGCCTTGAAGACAAGATATTCCCTCAAATAAGAAACATTATTCTTGCAAGAAAACTATCATGTGTGGAAGGATGCAATACATGCTTTAATGAAGCTCAGCCTTCCTCTCATTTCTCTTGTATGACCATGGTGACCATGGCTCTTTTTTATATATACACATACATACATACGTATGTGTATATATATATATACATATGAGCAACCGTAAAAACCCCGGCAATACTAAATACGTATTCGACGGACATTGGTTTATGGAAATTGATGGAAATTGTTAAAAACACGAGGTAAGCGATGGGACCTTCCCAAATTAGCGATACCCCTTTTCACGGTTATGTCATCATATTTCTCTAATATCCACATTAGCGATACCCAAATATCACATATTATTCATAGTTCATCACATATATATATATATAAATAAATGCAGCATTTTCCTGCAAGCGATACCCCCCAAGTTTACCATATATCATTATTGTACAAACGTGTGGTAAGCGATGGGACCTTCCCAAATTTGTGGATGTCCTTTCCGTGAACCTAGGGTTTTCACAATCGCTCATATATATATATATATGTATACAATATATATATATGTATATGTATATGTATACAATATATATATATACAAACAATATATATATATGGATCATCAACGTGAAGTTTCGCTCCAAACATTAGTGGCGTTGGGAAACCTAGAGAGGTGGTCAACATGTCATCTGCTCTCCTGCGAGGGAAGACAGCAGATGCCCCAAAACCTGGAAGCAAGGCACTTGCCCATGGCACTGGGGTCATTCAGGAACCATGGCGTAATTTCATAATCATTCATACGTTCATATACACGTATAATATATATATATATATTTATGTATATATACATGAGTCTAGTAGTTCATATGCAACATGTGAAGGTAGATATGTTTTTACACGACTCGTGACAGGAGATCTGGGGTGTTTGTAAAGCGATCTTTTTGATGCCTATCCGCTTAGTCCTTCTGTATCGCATGTCGCTACATGTCGCTACATCTCTGCAACATACCCGGGCACCCGGCATGCCCGAACTGCGCGGCCCAGAGTGGTTCTTCGGTTCCGAAGAAGGAGATTAAGGAAGGTGGCATCGGCCACGTATCTCGGCAGCATTGGGAGAGAGATTCTTCTGTCTTCTGATGCCGTGCCATGTGCAGAATGGTGTTGTCACTGACAGGCACAGTTCATTATTGAGAACACGGGCAAGATCACGGTTCTGTCCTGAGTTCGTTTCAAGTTGTGTTGGACAACACAGCTATGGCACGGGTCTGTGCAAGTCTTGTGAATGGGTTTCCAGGGAAAAAATGCAGGGGCCTCCTTTTGCACGGCCATGTTCCTTTAAAAGGAAAATCGGGGATCATTGAACAAATTATACCTCGCTCCTCGAGGATCCAGGTGTTGCCTGAGGGCCACTTCTAAAACGGGATTCCCTACCAGCTAGGTTGCAAGGCCTGACAAAACAACTTCGAATCGGCCATAAGGCGCAGCAAGCTTAGGACTACTACCAGTTGGACAAGAAGAAGTTGGGCGAAGGATCCTACGGATCCGTCTGCAAGGCGAACAACATCTCGACTAAGGCAGGGCATGGTAATGTCGCAGACAGTTGTCTCCAAGGGTGATGGCGGTGGCAACGTGGCACAGGCCATCCGTGCTGTGAAGACCATCTCCAAGTCTCAGATGAAGAATTTGGAGCGCTTCAAGCAGGAAATCGTGTGGTGCTGAGGATTTGGTTTTGATCTGGCTACACTGGACACACTGGCCACACTGCTAGTCACTGCTTTTGCTTTCTTTGCTTTCTTCCGTTTTGGTCTGGCTGGGCTGGGTGCTGGCTTTCCAGTGGGTAAAATTCATTAAAATTCAGTTTCTACAACGCACCAGCATTTTAACGGACCCAGGGTTTGACGGTTTGACCAACGAGTTTTCCCTCTTTGCTCTCTTGACCGTACAGTTCCCCCAAGATTTCACCATCGTGGCCATGGTAGTTCCTTTGAAACTGCCCCCTCTGAGGCCATCATGAAGATGATGGACCACCCAAACATCATCAAGCTCTTCGAGTCCTTCGAGGATCACAGGACCATAATTAGGTGTTGTGCTTGATGATGGACACTCAAACCATTCTCAAACCCATGAATGCAAGATACACGTATGCATGCAAGTGAGCAACGGCTTTTACTTGCGCACATGAGCAGTAGAATAACCGAGTCTCGCATGACATGCATTCCGTTTTCAGCCAAGAATTCGGTGCAAAAACGCGATGGTGTGGGGAAAACGAAGTCAATGATCAAATTTAGGGTCTATGCTGCCTTTCGAAGGAACCTCAATTAGTAATTTCAGCTACTCATATGATCTCATATCTATGCGCATACTACAGATTCAACAATTATATCAGTACTTGGCAGTTGTTACAGTTGGGATTAGTTTTTTATGTGTGTAACAGGAACATCTATTTGGTCATGGAGCTCTGCTCTGGCGGTGAGCTCTTTGACCGTATCATTGAGTGGCTCGGCAGATGCAGCTTGGGGGAGGAGAAATGGGTAGGTTTGCCTCTTGGAGGTTAGGTTCATCTGAAAATGGGGTACCCCATTCCATCCATTGGTTTATATATCTATGATCGTCATTATCCATGTTTATATGGCCATTTGGGGATGCAGCCCATTTTGAGACACACCATGACACACCCGATGAACATGGTCACCTTTTGTCTTTCAGAAGTTCGTAGTACAATCTTGACTTTGCTTTCGAGCCACCAGTTGGACGTCACAGATTTTTTTGGCACAGCACCATTCGAAGCAAATCTCAGTCAACCCAAATTCAGCCGGAATCCAACTTTCGGTTCAAAAACACCTTCCAGGTTGCGGTTTGTCTCCGAATCAGATGGGTACAGGTCAGGTTTTTGGTCGATTTTGGTCATCTTCAACATTGACCATCCAATTATTGGGGTGTCCAATTATATAGTCACAGCCAAATTCCACTATCAATGGGTTAAATCCCTATTTTTGATGGTTAACTCACTCCCAATCACTTGGGGATTTTTGCTGCTTACATCCCATGGAAATCCCGTGACATTCTATTAAACCCAAGGACTTACCGTCATTTTGATTGTTTTTGATGGTTACATCACCATTTTTGTATGAGGAAAATCCCATGAAAATCAGCCACGTGTGGTGCGGCACCACCTGGACCCGGCGCTCGCTGAGGTCAGGCCACTTCTCGGAACAGCAGGCTGCCATCCTCATGCAGCAGATTATTCGCCGGGGCCCGGAGTCTGGGGAGCTATATCTTATACATTTTGCTGTGATGTATATCGTGTATATATATATATACTATAGATCCAATACTAATTGAATGATTACGTAACTAGTATAAACATGTATAAACCAAGTATATATATGTATACATGGAGATGATACATGAATGATATAATTTAA